ATAATATTCAAAGTAAATTGTCGTGAACACAGTCACTATTGCCATTTTGAAATACTTTCATACGCAAAAGCTCAAAACGGTAACAATATTATATTCTTTTACCTGTTATTCTTAATAAACTTTACTATAATTACCCTGGCCAAGTAACTTATTATAACATTATTAAGTACTTACCAGCTCTTTCAAAAACTTATATAAAATAGTAACAATATACAATATATTTTTTTCAAATTTCAAGTTATTAATTTTAAAAATAGTAAAAAATAGAAATTTTTAAATGTAAATTAAAAAATATTAAATATTTTTAAAAAACAAAGTATTTTTTTTGAAAATTTTATATAGTATTATAAAAAATATTTTAATTATAAAATTATTAATAAATATCAAGAACAAAAATAAGTTATTAAAAAATATCAAGTAATTTTATTTTTTATAAAATTATAAAAAAATATAAAATTTTTAATATATATAATTATATATATTAAAAAATATTTAAAAATATAATTAATTATTATTAAAATATATTATAATATAATATAATATATTACTAATATTATAAATTTAATCTATTAATATAAATATAATATAATATATAATAATTAATATAATTATAAAATTATATATATAATTTATTAATAAAATATAGTAAAAATTAAAATTTTGTTCTTATATAAAAAAAGTTTTCAATTTTATTAATAAATATTTTTATTTTTATATTAAAATAAAGATTATAGTTTAAAATATATATTTTCTGAATTTTTAGATTTTTTTTGATAAAATTGTTCAAATTACAAGTTATTATAAAATTTTTTATAATTAATTTAATATTTTAATTATAATAATTTTTATAATAACTTTGTAATTAAAATAACTTTATCAAAAAAAATATATATATTAAACTATAATTTATAATCTTTATTTTAAAATAAAAATTAAAATATTTATTAAAAAATTAAAATTTTTTATATAAAACCAAAATTTTAATTTTATTAATAAAATCACAAGGTGATTTTATAATTCTATTAACTTATATATATACTTTATAATAAATTAAAAAAAGTATAATAAAATATTATAAAATAAAAATTTTTTATTGATTTTTATTATTATAGTAAAAATTTCTTGTTTTTGTATTTTAATATATATTTTTTTATAAATTTAATTTCAAAAATATTTTTAATTATAAATTTAATTATATAAATTTTTTATAATTAAAATTCAAATTTAATTAATGTATAAATTTATTTATTATTAATAATAAATATTAATTATAAAAATTAATATAATTAATTAAAATACAAAATCAAAGTATACCAAAAAATTTATTTCTTAATTTAATAATCATATTGTTATATAATTATTATTTATAATAAATTTATTTTTTTAATTATAGTTATAAAAAATATAGTCACAATCTTTTATTGCATTTTTGTAATTATTAAAAAATTTTCGAATTTTGTAAAGTAATACATCAAGTAATTTTAATTAATATTATTAAAATATTTTTAGTACATGCTATTTTTTACAATAATATAAATTTTCCAGTTTATTACATGTATATGCTTCTGCTAAAATACAAAAAATATAAATTTGTAATTACGTTTTTTCTCTATTATCAAAAATTTTTAAAAACGTGAAACAAACTCTTTTTTGTATTACATTTTTAATTATTAAAATTAGTATAAATAAGTATAGAGCAATCCATTGATTAATACATATATCAACTGCATTGTTTAACATGACCTCAAGTGACTTACTGAATGACCTTATTTAATTTAGTGTTCAGTGACAAAAAGTCACTTATCAAATAGCAAATGACTTAATTTTGTCCATCCCTGTTGCTGTTAATCAAAAGTGCAGAACAACAGAGGCTTTGTGCAAAGATACAATCACACGTTTTCCCAATTCCAGCTATTATAGAGCATATGAAATTTGACTTCCGTACAGTCACAACCTCTTTAAAGTCACCCTTTTTTCTGGTCTCGAGAGTGTGATCATATGGAGGTACAACTGTATTAAGATTTTTTATACATATACAGTCAAACCTCGATATAACTGAGTGGTTGAAAATTCGGTTTACCGAGGTTTATTTAGTAAATTTGGTTTATCAAAATTGATTGATTATAACCGTTTCTGAAATTAGTTTTATTAATGCTTCGTTAGATCGAAGTTTGACTATAACATTCAAATTCAAGATACATATTTTTTTTAATCTTACGAAAACCACTACAAAATAAATGTGAAAATTGTGAATTAAAAATAGCTTGATCTAATCAAGTTTGATTATTACCGCTACAGGCTGAAAAGAAATAATTTATGTTGCAAACTAAATAAATCAAGTTTTGAATAAAATTTTATTAATCTATATAAAGGTAAAAATCGAAAGAAGTTTCGTAACAAGTTTTGGAACAAATTTGATTTTTAGATACTTCTTTTTATACTTAATTCTAAAAAGAATGATCTTTTCGTTTATGATTCAATTTAGGGCACAACAAATTATAGTATATTTTTCTAAATGGAAATAAAGTATAGAACGTGAAATTATTCTGCTTCACTATACGTATATAATTATAGCCTCATATAAGAGTAACTGTGTAGCCATAATAACGATAATAACAGTCATTCTAACAATGGAGGAGATTGGTCCAACGTGGTTCAATGCATTCCCCTTGTCCGTGTACATATATAATGTATAATACTTGTATGTTATCAAAAAATGAATACAGTATACGCAAAGGAATATAAACGAGTTTTTTAATGTTGTCGAGTATTCTCGATACTGAGAAGGTAACAATACGTACATCGAATTAAGTTTAGTAATTTCTGAATAATAAAAATTATGAGAACAAAAGCCATTACGTACTCTTAAGCTGACGATAACTCCTTGCCCTCCTTATCTCTATTTCCAAAAACAAAATTTATTCATTGACTTCACCTAAAAATCCTTTCGGCCCGAAAGTCGTTACACCATTATACTAGCATTAGCCATAAATTCTCGATTTCATGTCAAACAGATTTTCTATTTGTTACATATCGTTATCATCGTTATGATTTACTAAGCCATAATAGGTATTTTATATACATATGCATTAATGATCCGAAACAAAAATGAAAGAACTCGAATACGTCCATGTAGCGGTAGTTCATACATGTGGAAACCTACAAACAAATAAGCAGCAAAAAAAAGCAAAACAGCCGCCTGCTATGCCACAATGAACATTGACAATACCGCGGCTGCCGCTCGCTGCATATTTATTATAATTATATTGATATATATATAGATTCCTTTTGATTGGGTATATTTTTAGACCGAAATAAAGTCTTTGTCGACAATAATAATAATAATAATTACATACAACACATTCATTCGAACAACATAACAACGAATAGCAAAGAATTTTTGGGTTTCCTTAAATAGTATTGTCTCCTACTATTAAAGTTCATAGTATTATTATTCAGCTCGTAGATAATTGTGTTGGTTGTTGCTATCCAACTTCCCCTACAGAATACTAAACATTTTTGAGCGGAGAATCATTAAATTAATTATTGAGAAAAGTAACACATACAGGTATTATATATTATCAAAGTTGTACGTAATTTCCCTTTGGTATTCATAGTACGTACATGTACTTTGTACATTGATTATTGTATTGTTTCTGCATTTATCTATTTATTATCGTTATCTTTATAAGTATTCTGTGTATGAAGCTTAAATGCATTATCGTAATACAATATTAGTTATTTTTTTATATCAGAAAATCGTTCGAAAAGCGACTTGTCGCTGTTACCATTACTGGTTTTGTCTTGAGAAGCCTATTAAGTCCTCGTCTTCTTGCTGCTATTAAATAAAAAAATTTTCTTTTTTTCTACAAAAAATTTTTCGTTTCTACTTGTCAAAATTACATACTAAAAAATGAAAAACATAAAGACACCAACAACAACAGAAAACTTAGAAAATTTTTTATTCCAAGAGAATAATTGTCTCGACAATATTCAAACAGTACGAAATGAAAGAGCTGGTCTCGATAATAAATTTACAAATGATATGAAGACAATTTATCTAAATACTTTTATTAATGATGGTGACTATTCACAGCTGGTCAAAAGTAATGAAGGATTAGCTGACGACGGAAAAATTATTTTGAATTCTAATAACGAAGGTCGTTCACGAGTTCAACTTCGAGCATTCAAGCTGGTTGATTTTGGTGATGAGTCAACCCCAAAAGATGAAAAGGCAAAAAAACCAGATTCATTATTATCGAGTTCAGATGAAACTAAATATAATCAAAAAGAGTCCCTTGCGATAGTTACAAAGAACATTCATGATTTAGCGTTAGATTCAAAAGAATCAACAATGATCGCACAAAAAAGGCTCCGATCTCTACATCAAGATATTTTGGACGTGCGTAAAAAATTGCGCGAAACAGATCTCACAACAGTCGATGTCAAGGAAACATTAATAGCTACAATAAGCCTAGGTCACGATTTCTTTCAGACAAAATCTCGATTCAAGATTCTCGGACTCGAAACAATGAATAGAGAAAATGATTATTATTTAAATTCTCAGTTGATTGAACAAATACGGACTGAAATGATGGAACTTGAGGAATATTTTCGCTACCATAATGAAAGAGCGATTGACAATGCGATGCATTTCCTTATCAAAGAACAAGGACTGAGTGGGTTCAAGGAAGGGTTTGAGGTATTGTCAAAACTTTTGCCTCGAATGGCCGAACAGAAAGAGAAAATGTATATTAATTGGATTGAAACCGAAGAGGAGTATTGCAATATGAAATATTTAGCAAGTGACTCGGGGTTTTCAGAATTGGATGATTCTGAGTTTTCAGATCTGGATGATTCTGATTTGGAGCTTGATCTTGATTGTGATATTTCAGATTGGATTAAAGATATAATGATAACGTCCAAGAATCGTAATGTGAATATACAAAGTTCGCCGCAGTTACTGTCCCTACCTACGCCGCCGCCAAAACAACAAATCAATATCTTATGGTTGCCATTTCGTATTCTTTTCTTAATATTATTCCGTCTTATAGCGTTTATATTTATTCGAGACTCAAAGAATATCAAGGGCAATTACGAGACGGAAGATATAGATCATATAATCATTTCAAATGATGATGAAATTTCACAAACAATTATAGATAACTTTGATAATAATAATAATAATAATGATGATGATAATGATGATGATGATGATGATGATGATGATGATGATGATGATGATGATGATGATGATGATGATGATGATGATGATGATAATAATAATACTATTCATAATCATAATCACAATAATAATAATAATAATAATAATAATAATAATACTATTCATAATCATAATCACAATCATAATAATAGTTTTCGAAATATAACATCTAGACCATCTTTAATATCAACAAAAACATTTCTTCGATCCAGAACTAGGAAACGAATCGCTAGTAGGTTTCTCCGATCGAGAACTAAAATTTGAATTGCTAAGAATCAACGAATTACATGTAACTAGTATTTTATTCTCCTCCTTTGATTTAATGCAGTTCGGATTATAAAAGAACATTAGCGCTAGACTTATCCCCTATATATACTTAATTTTCAATAAATCACCTCTTTCTTGCAGCTTTGTTGAAAGAGAACACAAAACATACAGTTCTGTGTATGCTGATTACTTCGGTTAGATGTCACATTAAATATGCTTATTTTAACGAATGAAAATGTCTTTTTATCGGGACTCTTGTATTAAATCAAAACAAAAATCACAGTATAGTATGAATACGTTTCTGCTTATGTCGTAATAATCGCTTCACAGAGCCGCAAAGATCATAAATACGGCGTTGACCACACCGATATTCAAATTCAAGAAAATTTTCATCAATCTTCTAGTCAATATAAATAAAAACTCACATATAACAAATTACTTTTATCGGTTTTCTGTAATTAATGCACGAGTTAATTAGATAAGTTCTGTATTGCAAAAAAACCCCAAACATAAAGAATAAAAGCTTGTTCGATTATTTTTTTCGGTTTAGTAATTGCTTGTTAACCAGCCCGAACCGAGAAAACGTGGTTGGATTGATTGAGCCGAATGTATAATCGGTTAAACCGTCAATAACCGGTTAAATACCTAAATAGCCATTATAAATTTAATTATTTTATAATCTGTCTAGTAGACATCATTAACAAATGACTATGTCTAGACTAAAACAGTTGGAATCTGATGAAATTTTTTGGCTCAATCGATGTAAAATAAACTTCGGGACCTCATTCTATCATTGAATTTGGTGTTGGGACATTGGTGCAACGTTTTTGAATTTTCCTATAATCAAAAAACCGAATAACTAGGAAAATTCAGCACAAAATGATTACTTAACGTTAACGTTAATTAACTTTATCATTATATCGATATTGTGGATTTGGTTGTATCGGTATCTGGTTCGGTAGGATTTTCAGTTCAAATCACATGTTATCGCAGAAATCGTTGTCATTGGTTACTATAAAACGTCACGTGTTTCTAAAGATACATATATGGTGCATAACATCAATAAATTTTATTTTATAAATTCCATAGACTTAAATCCAAATTCTCATCATTCAAAATGATAGAGTAAGCTTCTCGATTATATTAACGGCATAGACTTCTATTTCTGCATCTTTTGAAGTTTAAAAAACACGCTACGTGATCGGACATAGTGCACTTGTTACGTAGTGAATTTTATACAACATACTTTTACACAATGCGTTTGTTCTATTACAAAAAATGATCTGTTCTTCGTAAAATCTGAAATTTTACTGATTAGTTATTTATAAATAAATGTTTCCCGGAAAATACTGTAGATCTAAGATAAACTTTTTCTCGGCCAATAATATAGTGAATTCCCCTCCTCCTATAAAAATAATTTCCAAGTTAAATCAAATGGGGGCAGTCCGCAGGGTCTTATATTGTGTATAAGATACATTGGTTTTCCAGAAATCGAAGCCGAATAATAATTTTTGCGATATGTTTCTAGCAAAACTAGTATTTGATCTACCAAATTATGGTTTCGGATTTTGAAAATCGAAATTGACTTTATCAGCATTACCGAAAAATGTAGGCCGAATTTATTTTACGGTAACACAATGTTGATTATGGTTATGGACTAAAGATAAAATCACACCCGGGCATTTTTAAGCAGCCATTTTCGAATAATCCGGGATTTTATTCGGGTGTGATCAAAAGTTTGCGCCATCTTATTGGTCAATGATCTGTCCGGCCTACCTTTTTCGGGGCTGTTCGAAACACCGATCTGAATCACGTATATTAACAAAAGATTTATAATAGTGTGTTTATGGATTTAGATTTCAACTTCATAAGACTCAAAATCGAGCACTGCTTAAAATCCTAATTTAATACCCGGGATATTTTGTGCGAGAGCAAGGTACTTTGTCTGGTATCGGGGGGGGAGATTTTGTGATGGGGATACTTTGTGAGGGTATTATATGACAGGATATTTAAGATAATACACGATATTAATTACTGGATATTGCTTCGATTTACATGTTTTCGAAACAAATAGAACATTCTTGGTACGCAAATTGCGTATTTTTGTCAAAGTTATTTGTCGTGTTTTTGAAAATTAAAAAGGTGAATTTTAATTTTAGTAAAATAAAATTTTTTGTGAGGATGAATAATTAAATTACAAAACCAATAATTTAAGATATAAATTATGGTCAGTGGAAATTTTGGAGCGTCGTGTCCAACTATCGAAAAATAATATGAATCTATTAAAATACCCGGGTCTTAAACAAAATTTGGTTTCCAAACCTCATAATAATACAGTCAAACCCCCTCTATAGTCACCAAATTTTGCTTTCCCGAGGGTGGTGACTGGGGGGTTACTATGTTTATGCGTAGTGGGAAAGCAAAATAGAGGCGTTTGACTATAAACGGTGTGAGTATAGAGGGGTTTGACTGTACTCGTGTATAATTTTTGGAGAAAAAATTGTTCCATATAAAATATCCAGGTATTTTACACGGAGGATGTATATAAGCAGTTCTCTAAAGTATATATGTAAAAAGTAAAAGTTGTTAGACGTTACACTTTATAAACTTCAGTTAACAAAATCGTAGAATTTACAATTTAGTTTGAACATGAAACAAATATTCGATATATTTTTCAGATAAAAGTATAATATAATAGGATTTTTACATTAACAGAATGGTTTATAATAAAAGAAAAATTTACTAGAAAGAAAATCATATTAAAAGTAAAACTTTCAAGATTCCTCAGCGCAGCATATCCAAAATTCAGGCATAGTATTTCGTTGAGGCGGTTTGTCTTCAGTCACATTTTCATCACGCCAAGCCTATAGTTTTATAGAAATAAATATCAAACGAACTTTAATTTGATTGGATTATAAAATATAAATTTAATTACCAGACAAAAAGCCCACTTCCTATACATATATTCATGCAACACCAAATGATGAGTACTATCAATTAAATAACATCCCTCAGGGTGCTTAGAGCACCATCCGGCATACTTGTTTTTCAGTGAGGCAAGATGCATATCAAAAGATTCTTTACATGTTGATACCTGAAGATATATCAAAACATAGTATAGAAAATGAAATTATGCGCAACTAAACCATTGATTTTTGAATAAATAGGTTTATTACGTGATTAGTCACAGAAGTATTGTTGCATGGATGCTTCTTATTTGCTCTTACTTGTTTAGCTTTTTATTAGCATAATAATTAATAAGGAAATTCACGTGGTCTATAAAAGTCAATGTTTTCATTTCATTTACCTTTTTTAAAAGAACTCGATTCAAGAGCGATTGTTTTACGCTTTGAAGTTGGTTTCTTTGTTTTCGTAGTCGTCGACGTTTCTTCTGTTAATGGACTAATAATTATTTGGATTGATCTCAGTATTTTTCCAGGAATTTAAACTTGCCTTTGACTGTACGTTTCTTAGTGTTAGCAACAGGTTTTACTGATCTACGATCACGTTCACCCGCATCTAAAGCTAATTCACCAGCAGCATCAACATTTTGATTTTCTCGATCATCAAACTCGTGACTGTTATTCTATAATATACAGTATGCATGTTACAAGAAAATAAAGACCGAAAAAAAGCAATATCTGACCATTCAACTGTCACTACACTTTTATTTCCTTCAAACGCTCTGTTGGTTTTGCCCCGCGTTTTTTGGCGGTGGGCTTCTTTACTGTTTTGTTGCTTGATTTTTTGACTACCATCTTTTTTATATTCAATTTTATTTGTTACTCCTAAATTGAGAGTTATAAATAAAAGCATAAATGTATAATAGTCAGACTTTTATGCGGAATAAATGTTGATTTACTGATGATTCTGATAATTGTAATAAATGTACGCGTTTCAAAGTATTAGTCACAGCAATATGCTGGTGATGTGTTTGATTTTCAAAATGATGGATCGCAAAGACGCGAAAGCTTTACTGTGACCCCATGAAAAATCAACGTCCAATGATTGTCCAATACGCATTTATATTGTCTGGTCTCCAAATATGTCTGTCTAGTGTTCCAAGTCGACTCTAAATTATTGACTCGACCAAGTCTATATATCTAAAAAGGCAGTTGATTTAGTCAACTAATAGCGCAGTATCCAAATTTGATAATTCAGTTACGTGACAAAACTTTATTACGTATATCGAGTAAATATATAGAGTATAGTATTTTGTGGAATAAAGCCCAGGGAATATTATACAATTATTATAGTACTCATGATATGATAGAAGCAGTGTTGTCAACTGGACCACTGGACTTGGCAAGTTTATAAGTTCAATCTGGTCCAATCCAGTAACTTCTAGTTACTAAATATAGTAAAGGGATACCGTGATTGGATAGAAATTATACTCGGGAGATATTTTGATTGGAGGAGGTTATTATGCAGGAGAATATTATATAATGAATAAATGTATTTGTAGCAACTGATATTTGTAACAACTGTATTTTAATTGGTTAATTAGAACCTGAGATTAGGGTTAAAATTTTGGATATGTGATTGATTAATATTGAAGTGGTTGCATGTAGCAGTTGTTATAATTAGATTTATTTATGTAATAATCATTTTTATTTTTACTAAATCACTTATAATATACTGTTATACATTTTTCACTAATTGTGGAATTAACCAATAAATGTGAACAAGGGTCAGAAAAGGAAATTAAATAACTATATAATCCAGTGCAAAAATGTTAATATACAAAAAATAAAAGTTATACAAAATATAATTAATATTTATAATTTTTTATATTAAGTAAAACATATCTTAATATAGCTTTTTATATTATTTTTAGTATTTTTTTATACTTTTATTTAAAAATAAATAAAACAAAACTTTTCATTTTTGAACAATAAAATTTGCAATTTTTAAAAATTAAAAATAATTTTTAGATATTATCACTATAAATTTTTATTTTTAAAAGTTTATACTTAGCAAGTGTATTAATATATATAATAAATATATATTTCAAAGTTTAGCAAAATTGAATTACTAGTTATTGAAAAATTAAGCTTTAAAATTTAAAAATTTAATTTTTTTTCATTATATAAAATTATAAAAATGATTATAAATTACTATATAAAAAAATTAAAATAATTAAATTGAAAGTCATTAACTAATAAAATTTTTTATTTTATTTATATATAATAAAAAAATTATAATTATAAATTTAAATATTATATTTAATAAAAAATTAAAATATTAAAATAAAAAATTTTTTATTAATAGCAAAGTGATATATTTATATTTTTATATTACTTTACAAATAATAATTCAATTTTGCAAACTTTAAAATATATATTTATTATATTATTTTAAAACTAAAAATTTATAACAATAATATCTAACAAAAATAATAAAGATTCTTTCATTTTATTTTTCTCACAAAAAAGAAATTAAAATATTTTTGGTTAAGAAATTTCAAATAATTAAATTATAACAAAAATATCAAAAGATTAATCTATAATAAAATATTAATTCAATTATTTAATAATAATATTTTGATTAGCTTAATATAATTTAAAACTATTTGTTTATAAGTTTTAAAGTATATAGATAAGAGAAAAAGACAAATTGTTTTCGTATTAAAAAATATTTGTTTTATTATCTTATTTTTTATCAAGTTTTTATATATTGAATTAAGATTTAACTACAACTTGTATTTATATATTTTTTATAAATATAAATATAATATCAAAAATAAAAAAAGAATATAAAAAATAAATATACTAACTAAAAATAAAGTTTCAATTTACTAAATATAAAAGTAAAAAAAATAAAACAGAAAATAAATAAATAAATATATATTTAAAAATTTATATTTATTTAGAATAAATAAATAAAAAAAATAGAAAAGTATAAAAATAAATAAATAAATAAATAAATAGATAATAATAAAATAAATTAATAATATAAAAGTAAAAAAGTATAAAAATAAAGTAATATTAATATGAGATAAAAAAATAAATAAAAAAATAAAAAATATAAAAATAAAAAATAAATAAATAAATATAATAATTAATAATTTATAATATAATTAAAAGATATTTTAAGTTTTTTATATAATTTTTATAATTTTATAAATATTACAAATTATGAAATTAATGATTTTTATAATATAATTATAATATTTGTATTTTTTTTAAAAAATTAAGCTTTTACAAAATTATTATATAAGATTTTTGATTTTATAATTTTTTATATAAAATATTTTTGTTAATATTAGCTTTAGATTAAATTTTTTTTGTTTTATTTTTTCTTTGAAAAAAATATTTAATAGATTTTTTAGTAATTATATAATAATAATCATAAAATTAAAGCTTGAGCTCTTTATTAATTTTCTTTTTATTAATAATTTTTTTAATATTGTAATTTGGTTTCTTAGAATTAATTTGAATTATTTTTTTTAATTATACTAACTATTTTTTAGTTAAAGAAATTATAATATTCTTTTTTTGATATATTAAATTAATTATTAAATTTATATCTAAAATAAAATTATATCTAATTTTTTTACAGTTTGTAATAAATTTATTTTAGATAAAACATCTAAATTTATAACTGATAAATTTACAAAAAATTATAATCTTTAATTAAATTAGAGATTCATTCTATTATTGAGATAGAATATATTTATTCAAAGTTATCTAATAATATTATTCCTATTTTTAAAATAAAAATATTACTTTATTGTTAGTTAATAAATAATTTAGCCATGAGTTAAATAAGTAATAATTATATATTATTATTAGTTTAATTTAATAATTAATATATTATAAAATAAAATAAATTCAAAAAGAAAAATAACTAATAAAGTTTTTCAAAAAAAGCTTTACAAAAAATACAATATATAATAACAAAGTATTAAAAACTTTGAAAAAAATAAATGAATTATTTATATAATTTTAATTATATATTATTGAATATTTTTTTGAGTAATTATTTTTGTTAATTTTATAATTTATATGTTTTATTCTGATAAATTTTATAAATATAATATTATTTTTTTTATTATAAATTAAACTTTGTTTCCAATTTCAAATTGTTATACTTTTTATAATTTTTTTTTAATTTTCTTGTAAAAAATTTATATTTTGTTTGATAATCTCATTAATTTATTTAAATAAATAATTAATAAATATAAATATTTTATTTAATAATTGTTTTTTGATTTTTATTTTTTTTTAAATATTGTTTCAATTATAATTTTATAGATAATTTTTATATTTCAAATAATAAATTATAGATTTAATAATATATTATAATCTTCAATATTTGAAAAATAAAATTTTTAATGATCATATTTCAGAATTTTAATAAATATTTGTTATACAAAATAAACTCTTATTTAAAGTCAATTGATAAAAGAATACTATATATTCTTTTAGAGTTTTAAAATAAAAATAATTATGAAATATATATATTGAAAACTTTGAATTATTACTATTGTTGTGATTAGATATTTTCATAATCACAAACTATCATCTCACATGATTGCTTTACATGATCGCTTCATATGATCATCTCACATGATCGCTTCACATGGTCACTTTGAATGATCATTTCAAGTGCTCTGAATGATCATTCCAAATGATCATTTTATATTTATCAAATACTTATAAATACAGCTTGTATCTTAGTTAAAAAAATAATAAGTTCGATTCAAGTTTAGTTTTTATTCTTTTAATAATCTTTTAGTTTTTATTCTTTTCATAACCTCTCGTCTTAATTGCGAAGTTATTTTTGTATTTTGTTTTATAACCTCTCGTCACTATTGCGAAGTTATATTAGCTTATACAATTTTGTATTTGACCTCTCGTCTATATTGCGAAGTCAATAATAGTATTGAATTAATAAAAGAAAATTAC